GAAAGCATACATAAACCATTCTCTGCTTTATAACAGTTTATGCTTTTGATTAAAGCAGAGAAAAGCATGTATGAACTATTCTCTGCCTTTCCGACATTATAAAACAAAAATAAAAAAAAACAAGAAAACAAAAAGTAAGCGATAATTTTTGTTTTCAGAAATCAATTCTATGCGTAAAAATATACAAATTTACAAAGTTTGAAAAAAATCCAAGGTGGGGGCGTTATACTGCATATTTACCTTATTTATTTGTTATTTTTACAAAAGTATCTTGAAGATGTTAATATGATTTTATTTTATTTTTTCAATTTTACTTTTTTATATATCTTATGTTTTTTAATTTCATTTTCTTATATGTTAAATATTTTTTATCAAAACATTTGCATATATTCGTAATTCATTGTACAAGTATTCATTTGGACTTTGCATATGTTGAATGTGTATAAAAAACAAGCAATATACAATAGCAGGATTAATTCAATGTCTTGGTTTGAATAGAGTCTCAATGGTTGCAAAGTAGAATTTAGATAGTTTAGCAGAATAAAAATTTATTTAAATTCAATCTAGCAGCTATGTCAGTAGAAAATTTCTATAATAATTGGCATGATTAGACTTTCTTGGAAATATTTCTTTTTTACTACATTTTATATTAACACATTTACTACATTTAATATTCCAACATTAAAAATATATTACACTTATTAGTAAATATTCTAAAAAGATCTTATTAGCTGAGAAAATGAGAAAAGTAATTAGGATAATAAAGACTTTTAAGAGTTAGGTGCACTGATAAATATTCTACTAGTTATTAGTAAATTTCTAGAGATTTAAATATAACAATAATATAATTGCTCCTGCAATACCAATTTTATAAGAATATTGTATTATTTCTCTATAAAATTTGCAAAAATTATAATTTCTTAAAGGAGCTCTGTTCACATATACTAAAACATTGAAATTCAACCAAATAAATTGAACGGTTCACGGTCATTGGTCATACTTCTTATCTGGTCCTCAAAAATATGTAAATGTCTGTATCTAACTTTGTAGTTTAATCTGGCGATAAAAGAGCTACCAGAAGTCTTAGCCGATGCTAAGAGGGCACTCTGTGGAGAAATAGTGAGTTCCACTGTACCGCTCTGCATAGAAATCTCTCTGAAAACAGTGGAAGGCGACACGATGGTTCTGGAAACATGGAGTCTTGGTGTTTTGCCAGAGCAGAGTGACCCGACTGTACGAGTCACGTATACCGTGTACAATAGAATGGGGATTTTGTTGAAGTCTTTGCTTTCTGTCTCGAGGGTCACACCCGCTTATAAACTGAGCAGGCGGCAAGGTCCGGATTCTTACACCATGTGTTATAAAATATACATGGGAGAACCTCAGCTACACGTCTTGGGTATATTGTTTGTTACTTAAATCAAGGGAAAATTCTGAATTATTTTTTTATTCCTCACAGTTCGTTGGTTGATTTATTTTCTCGTACATATTGGAAGAAAAATTTACTTATCATCGATATATTTCTTAACAGGCGATAACTATAAACATGTGAGAGTGGGTCAGTTGTGCACCCCAGTGGGTACTATACACTTGTCAGTCTCTTATAGAACGAAAATGACCATATCACCCACTCACACGGGACGAGACTCTATTATGCTTAAGAGTGATCATTTTCATTCGGACTTAAGTCCGCGTCACGCGCGGTATCAGCAGAGGTAAGAGCGAAAATCATCTGTTGGATTGAGAAATGATCCGAGGCTGTCGAGTTAAGGGAGATAAATACTGACAGTCAAAAAAAAATAGTCAATTTTGTTACATTTATTTAATATAGTTAAAATATAAAATAATATAGTTAAAATAAATATATAATGTAGTTTCAAAAATAGCTCTTTTTAGTGAATTTTTTGTGATGCCCATAAATCAGGTGGATAAATAAATGTATCTGCATTGAATTAGTCATGTTTTGAACTGTTGGAAAATATTTTTCTATTTGATAAAATACATTTTCATTTTTGTATAAAATGTATCTGTAGTAGGTTCTGCAAACTCCATTAGCCCTGCACCTGGAGTCCTTAAAAGTTATCTGAAATAAAAAATACCCAAGATTTTCTTAAAGTATATGAATATAATTTCAATTAAGCGTACGGATTTTTTTATGATTTAAATCCCCCTCCCAAAACGGTACTTTTTACTTTATACTTTTTTTGGACAATTTTCATACATTTTTTTATACTTTTACTTTATACTTTTTTTGGACAATTTTCATACATTTTTTTTAAACGTATGCTATTTTGCAAATAATTAAAATATTAAAATTTTCGTACACTTAACTGAAACTACATTCATATACTTTAAGAAAATCTTGAATTTTTTAATTTTAGATGACTTTTAAGGACTCCAGATTCGGGATCGATAAAGCTTGTAAAGCCTACTAGACTGCGTTCGGAAACGTTGCGTTGGAGTGAGCGAAATACAAGAGTGAGATAAAAAGAGAGGGAGAGTACTCGAGTAACGTTTCCGAACGCAGCCCTACAGACACATTTTATACCAAAATAGAAATGTATTTCATCAAATAGAAAATATTTTTCAACAGTTTAAAAGATGACTAATTCAATGCAAAAACATTTATCTACCTGCTTTATCACAAAAAATTCGCTAAAAAGAGCTATTTTTTTCGATTATCACAGTGGTTATCTCCCTGAAGCAATTTATTCGGTATATGCAGTTCAATAACACGCTTTAAATCAAACTTTCAGCGAAGAGACATCCAAATCTCTTAGCGACACCATCAAAGTTGGTGCGTTTGTAGTAAACAAACCCGTCATTGTTAACGAGGAGGATCTTGTAATACCGGATGTGCCGTTCAGTTCCCTGTTGACACCCAGACAAACGTCGCCTCCTCCAGCGTCGCTAGTAGATCCTACAAACACAAAGACTGCAGCGGCAGCTGCCGCGAGCGATAGCAACAATGGAAATAATGAAAGACTCGTTAACGATAATACGACTTCGAAATGCGCCTCCCAAAACGGATCTAGAAGAAGTAGTTGCTCAATGACTAGTGCCAACGATGATTTTATTATGGTAGATTTGGTAATTGATGCTCCTAATCCGAACACGACAATTATCACGACGATTTGCCATGCGCCGTAGTGTAAAATTTGCTCGATCTTCCTTAACAATAATGTCAAAGCACTCAATTGTATTTTATTAGCAATTATTAAAAATAAGATTAGGTAAAATGTATGTGTATGTGTGTATGTATATATAATATATATATTACTAAATTTTGTTTTTGTTCACGGAAATTTGCTTTTTTAGACATCTTCTTGACTTTAACCTTAATTTAATCTTAATTTAAAATCTGTTTTAATTAAATGTTAGTTAAAAATTAAGTTATTAAAGTTATAAAGTTAACAATAATGATTGAAAAGTTTGCAAATCAAAAGAAATAATTGATTTACGACACTTTAGATTTTTATATTTGTTTAAGGAACTTCAAATTGCACCGTAATTATTATGCATGCAATCAGATAAAGTATTTTGTTTCTTTTAGATTGGGCAAATTTAACACTGGATCTGCGCGAGGAACAAACTTTGAATGTTATTGTTGCAGAAAACTCCGTTTGCCGTCACAAATACTAATAGCGACTTAGGAGCATTTTATCGGGAATGTCAAAGTGCCCCGCAATTGCAAGCCTTCATGGAAGAAAGAACGTTGGCGGAACAAGTGGGAGATCTTACTAAGCAATTGGAAACGTTTGAGACGAACATGCAACATTACGAAGATATTTTGTCGTCGTTGTGTCAAACCGAAAATAATAATTAAAGTCAAGCTATACACTCCCGAAGTTTCAATCTGGAGCGAAAATGCGAATATGTACAGCTGCACATATGGTGAACAAGAAATGTATTTGCACATAAGAGGAAAATCGTTGCTACAATGTCCTCTTGTTCAATATAATAATATAAAAGAGGATTACATTCTGATAGAATTCAACAATTGCAATCTTGCAATAATATATCTCTTTTGTGTTACGTATTATTTTATAAATAATAAAATAAGACGTGCAAATATTTTTTTTATGTACTATATACATCACATCCATCATATTGAATGTTAAAGCCTTTTTAATTGCCTTTATCATTCATGCACGAAATGGTCAAAATTTCGTTCAGTATCAGGTCTGTCTGTTAGATTTTAATTTGCAAACCAAATGTTTTTTTGGAAAAAAGGAAAAAACAAAGACAAATAAACGAACTAAAGGAAACCCATAAACAATGAACCAACAGATCATCGTTGTATACATAACTGTATATTTGAACGCGATTATGTAACGTAAATAAGTAGAAATTACGTTGCGTATATTCAGTACTAGTGCTGCTTACTGAGCTCAGTTAGTCTTGAATCTAACTGGCACATATTCTTTTAAATTTAAAAATACACAAGTCAGGTGCAAAAGATCAATGAGTAGTGATAGTACTGAATGCACCCATTGGCATAAGCGATTGCCAAGAAAAAGAAAGGATCTCTTTACTCAACGAATTTGGACAGACCTGGTATAAATTGCTCCGTTTTTCATATTTAGTAATTTTACGATTTTGAGGATTTGTAAATATGTTAAAACTATAATATGTCGAAAACTTCAAACTTAGTACTGTCAATCCCTTCTTTAGTTACACGCTGGGTAAAATACTGCTCGCTCAAATGTTTGCTAATATAAACAAGATGTTTAAGAAAGAAAGATTTCAGGATTTAGAAAGTATATAGTATTTACAGAACCGAATAAGAACTGTATTTACTATTTGTTAAAACTTATATTTGTTTATTACTTATTAGTATAAAAGTGTATTTACTATTTAGTATGTACACCTAAACGAAAATTATAATCAATACGGATTGAAAAACAAAATTTTTTTTTAATAGAAGCCATTATCGGTTTTGGTGATACAATTTTCATCTTTGCGGGGAAAACCATACGATTTTTTTTATGTAAATTGATTCTTCTAGTCATATTACATATAAAAGTATTAAAATAAGATCTTTAAGAA